TGAGCCACCGCACCTGGCTGATTCTCCAGAAATCTTTTGGCATCGTCATTAATAAAAGCATCAAGAAGTCAGAAAGGAAATCTTCAGAATTGCTACAGCTCTTTGGACTCCAGTAACCAAGGATGTCTCTTCACCTCCTTCTTGGAATCCTCCCACCATCTGCTGCTCTCTGGTCTCACACCTTCATTTTTCTTCTCTCTTATTCTCTTTTTAGTTATCTTCCTAGGAATATCCATCTTCAAATGCCTGGTGACCAGAACCCTAAATCAACTCCAGGTTCAGCATTGTACTTGGCAAATGACTCAACTGATCTTGTACATACAGCAGGGATGGAAAACTAATACTGATGTCATTCCCCAGACACTTATCAATCCTTGATTGTCTCCCTATTGTTGGAAAATTAGGGCAGTGTAAGAGAACCCCCCCGCCCTTTTTTTTGAGATAGAGTCTGGCTGTATCTCCCAGGCTGGAGTGTATTGGTATGATCTCGGCTCACTGCAACCTCCACCTCCTGGGTTCAAGCGATTCTCTCGCTTCAGCCTCCCCAGTAGCTGGGATTACAGGCGCCCACCACCATGCCTGGCTAATTTTTGTATTTTTAGTAGAGATGGGGTTTCACCATGTTGCCCGGGCTGGTCTTGAACTCCTGATCTCAGGTGATCCACCTGCCTCGGCCTCCCAATGTGCTGGGATTACAGGCGTGAGCCACCACGCCTGGCCCGTTTTTTTTTTTTTTTTTAAAGACAAGAGCTCACTGTCGCCCAGGCTGGATTGCAGTGGTGTGATCATGGCTCTCTGAAACCTCTGCCCTCCCAGGCTCAAGTGATCCTCTCGCCTCAGCTTCCCAAGTAGCTGGGGTTACAGGCGTGCACCACCACACCCGACTAATTTTCTATTTTGAACAAGAGGAAGACTGAATAAAGGTTGTCTCTACCAAATTTTAAGACATTTTTTCCCCTGAAACTTACTAGATTAGTTTTAAAACGTATTTATCAAACCCTTCTGTGGCTGTTGATCCATGGAAGTCATTGCTCCAAGTACCTGATACATTTCATTTAATCCTCAGAACAACTCTATGAGGCAGCCAGTATTATGATCCCGTGATCAGATGAAGAAACGGTGGTACAGAGAGGTTAAGTTTTCCAAGGTCACACAGTTGTAAAGTGACAGATCTGTGACTCACCCCGAGGAAGTCTGGCTCCTGGAGACTTTGCTGTCTGTCGCCACTATCAATTTCTCTCCATCTCACCACCAGAAGGTCACTTCGTGCACGCGTAATCATAAAAGAGGAAATTTCTCGTATGATCTTCTGGGCCTTGGCTTTTAGGGAGCCAAGGTCTGAGAGATGAGTGTGAATATTAGAGCTAGGTCTTGGAAGTTGGTAGAGGCAGGCTCGGCGTAGTGACACAGGTTGGCCGCCTGAGGGTGCCCCAGTCCTGCTCGCGGAGCCTGGAGACAGCGGGAAGCCTTGGAAACGAATGTCAGGCTCAGACTCCTAGGACCAGAGAACGTTGAGAATAGAGCATCATAGAAGGCTGAGAACAAAGCCCCTTAGAACGTAGAACAAAGGCCCCTGGAATGGAAGAATGATGAGCACACAACCTCCTAGCACCTGGGAGACAAAAGCTGCTTAGACTCTCTTCTGGTCAAAGCATAGAATCTTCCACCCAGGGTCTTATAATTCCAGAATTTGGAATGCAATGGATCTCAGACTCTTAGCAGCAAGACCGGCTACATATTTGGCCTAGTGCAAAGTGAAAATAAGGGGCCCCATGCTCAAAAACTAAAAATTTCAAGACAGCAATTGCAGAACATTCAACCAAGCGCGAAGACCCTTCTAAGCGGATTCCAAGCCGGTGAAGCCGGCCCTACGTAGAAACAATTTTATCGGAGGACGTCCGTCTGGTTTTACAGCTGAGTGTCTGGGAAGGCTTCTTGGAAGAGGAGGCGAAGTCAGGGCTCGACCCCCTAACCCTTTTCTCCCCCTGCGCAGCCTCAGAAGCTGAAGGCTGGGCGGGGTGGGGGGATAGGAGCAGCTGCCAAACTGTCACGTGGACCCATTCCCTATTTATAGATCACCCTTCCCCTCGCGCCGGACAGTCCAATGGTTGCCAGAGCTCGCCCGCAAAAGGGTGGAACCTGCTGCAAGACCGGCCAGACACAGACCAATGGCATTGAAGCAAGGGCGGGCTTGTTTCATTGTGACGCGTAGAGGGGCGAGGCCAGGGCCCCGAGGCAGTTGCTCGGAGGGGGCGTGGCAAGCGGAGTGAGTAGGCAGTTGCGAGCATGCGTCGTGTTGGGCGGTGCGATTGCACGGCCGAGCGTCTCCGTCGGGGAGGTTATTCGCCAATAGGCGGCAGTTGCTCGGTCGCCGGGGGCGTGGCCATGCAGATAAGGCGCGGGTGGGCGGCCCAATGGGCGGGCGCCTATGCAGATGAGACGGTGACAGCCCGGCCAGCGGGCGGGCAGGCTGCTGGGGCGGGGAGGTGGGACCGGGAGAGGGGTGGCCGCGGGGCCCGGCCGGGCTGGGGCGGGGGGCCGCAGCCATGATCCGGGCCTTCTCGTTCCCGGTGAGCCCTGAGCGGGGCCGGCTGCGGGGCTGGCTGGAGGGTAGCCTGGCCGGGCTCTGCGAGTTACACTGGCTCCGGGAGAGGCAGGAGTACCGCGTGCAGCAGGCGCTGCGGCTGGCCCAGCCCGGAATGGGGGGCGCCGAGGCCGAGGACGAGGAGGACGCTGATGAGGATGAAGATGCGGCGGCGGCGCGCCGGGCCGCAGCAGCCCTGGAGGAGCAGCTGGTAAGGGGCCGCCTGTCCGTCCGTCCCTCCACCCCCGTCTGTCTGTCTGTCTGCCTCAGTTGGATGCTCAGACACCCGGGCGGGGGGTGGGGGGTTGGGGACCCGGGTAGGCAGGGAGTGAGAAAGGACAGGGGGTGGGGCTGGAGACCCCGGAGTTCCGGCGGCGGGCCGGACCTAGCCTCCCCGCCCCCAAATCGGGGGAGGGGAAACTGCATCGCCCCCACTGGGGCCTCGTGAGAAACAGGCCCCATCCGTTACACCCCTTCCCCAAAGAAAATCCTTCTGGGCGCCAAGTATGTGTCAAACCCGGGACCGGGTACTTTGCAGGCGTTGTCTTCTTGCAGCTTGGGAAACAGGGGGTGATAGTCCCCATTTAACATAGAGAGAAATTGAGGCTCAGAGAGAGCAAGCGACTCACCCAAGGTCACACAGCCAGGCTCCAAACATGCCCTTCTCTGGGCCCCGCCACCAGGGCTCCATCTTCCCTAAGTCCTGGTGTGCTTGGAGATCTCTGGAGGGGGCGGGGTGGGAGGAGGGGAATCTGAGGGCCTCCAGAGGGAGGGACCACTGCTGAGAGAAAGCTCACAGTCCCTGAGGACCCCCCACTGGGCTCTTGACCCTTTGATGACGCTTCCCTTGCTTCCTAGCTGGCCCCAGCTCTCCTTGACCCAAGGGGAGGCAGGTCGAGGCAGCGCCTGGGGGAGACTTCTGGCCTCTGGGTGTTCTCATGGTGGAAGATGGACAGAGGTCCCCGGAATGACTTGAGGAGGCCTATGCCTCTCCCCTTTCTATGTCATTCCTTGAGTCTCCCGACCTCGTGCCGGGGTTCTGTCACTGTCTCCGTCCTGCCACATCCCTGTGACTTTCTGTGTCTGCTTCTCTTTCTTCATCCTGTCTCTCTGTCTCTGTGATCTCTGCGTCCCTCTGCGTCTGTCTCCGTGGCCTTCCCTTCCTGCCTGTCTGCACCTCGCTCTCTTCTTCTTGCCCGACGTCCCAGGCTCAGTCTCTCTTCCCCTCCCCCCAGCCCGCACACCCTGGCTCCACCGCAGATCCCCATCCCCAAGCCTGTGTGTGGCCAGAGCTTCCCGTTTCGGGAAACCTGAGCCGAGGTGGCAGTGGAGGGGGCTCTCCCCGCCGCTGACCTCGACTGCCCTCTCCCCAGATGGGGACTGGGGAGGAAGACTGAAGCCAGACTCCGGGGGCTGCACGCCCGGCCCCTCCCCCTCTCAGGAGTGGGACCCCCCCCCCCGCACATTCTTTTCTGGAAACAGAAACAGCTGTGGGAGTCCCCACCCCCTCCCAAAGTTAGAGACGGATTGTGGGGGCCTTCGCTAGCTCCCCCCACCCCAAGCTGGCTCGGCTTGGAAGGCGCTTTCCATCCTGACAAGGAGAAAGCGAGGCATGAGGATGGGGTAGCTGTGGGTAGCTGTGTCCTCTCCCGCTCTGCCCTTGGTTTCTCCCCTTTTCACCCTTCACCTTCCCCATCTCTGCCCTTCAGTCTCCCTCTCCTCGGTCCCTCTGTCCCCTCCTCCCCCCCAGCCCTCTGTCCTCCCGGCATGAGATGGTAGTGGAGAGGCCTGTCCCCCCCACCCCCCAGTCTCTAGGCAAAGCTTGTCCCAGCATCAGGGAGGAGGCGGTGGCAGGCGGGGGGAGGAGGAGGAGCAGTGAAGCGCTAAATATAAACTTCTCTAGTGCTGGGGGTTCCTGGGTCCCTCTGAAGAGCGGGTGAGGGCTTCCTCTGATCCCCCAGCCCTTGTCTTATGACTTACCCCCCACCCCCAGCCCCTGCCAGGAATACACTTCCTTCAAGGCAAGAAAGACTGAAGCCAGACTTGATTTCTTTCTAATAGGAATGATGGGAATACCAGGTAAAGATCAGGGGCGTTGCAGAGAAGAGAGGCAGGAATCCTGGGTGAGGACAGGGGCTCCCTGGGTCCTGCTTGTTCTCAAGAAGGAAAAAGGTCCTTTTCAGCAAGAAGAATTTAAGTCAGACTTGCGGAAGGACTTCCTAATAGAGATACATGGGCATTGGATACCAATGAGGGGCACGTGAGGGGAGAAACAAGGTAAGGGAAGTTTGGGCAAAGGGGTCTCCAGGGGTCCTAACCGAACTCTTATTAAGCCTGCAGAGAAAGGATGAGGGGCACCGTAGGGAGGCAGGGAGCCAGACTCAGGCCAAGGACTTTCTAATCTTTTAAAGATTCATCCTTTTGCAACTGGAAGGAAAGAGGCCAGACTTGCAAATAGAGGGGTGTAGACTTGGAATATTTTCGGGGGGGTGCCTAGGCGCTGGAGAGGATGAGGCATCTCCTGTCTGTCTCCTTAATTTCTGCTCTTCCTTGTAATGGAAGAACCGGAATTAGACTTGGCAGAACTTACCGAAAAGTCCATCCTTTCACGTTTATTTATATATTTGTAAATGATATATTTATTTATTCATTTATTTTTAGAGACAAAGTTTCCCAGGCTGAAGTGCAGTGGCGCAATCATAGCTCACTGCAGCCTCTAACTCCTGGCCTCAAGCAGTCCTCCTGCCTCAGCCTCCCAAGAAGCTAGGACTACAGGTGCATGCCACCACACTTGGCTAATTTTTTTTTTTTTTTAAGATATGAGGTCTTGCTATGTTGTGCAGGCTGGTCTCCAACTCCTGGGCTCAAGCAATCCTCCTGCCTCAGCCTCTCACAGCACTAGGATTGCAGGTGTGAGCTACTGTACCTGGCCTTTATTTGTTAATTGAGACAGAATCTTGCTGTGTCACCCAGGCTGGAGTGCAATGGCACGATCTCAGCTCACTGCAACGTCCACCTCCTAGGTTCAAGTGATTCTCGGCCCACTGCAACCTCCACCTCCTGGATTCAAGCGATTCTCCTGTCTCAACCTCCCAAGGAGCTGGAATTACAGGCATGCACCATCACCCCTGGCTAATTTTTGTATTTTTAGTAGAGATGGGTTTTCACCATGTTGGCCAGGCTGGTCTTGAATTCCTGGCCTCAAGTGATCCTCCCGCCTTGGCCTCGCAAAGTTGTTGGGATTACAGGCATGAGCCACTGTGCCCGACTCCTACATTTATTTTTAATTAAACAATGGAAACATTTTCTATTTTCCTTGTAAGAAATTCATAGCTTTCCTGTAATCATACAAACTGGCATTTATTATGTGTCAAAAGAAACTCATTTAATCCTCACAATAACCTCCAGGAGATGGTGTGCTATGATGCCCAGTTATAGATAAGGAAACTGAAGCCCAGAGAGGTAAAGCCACCCACCCAAGGTCACACAGCTGGGGAGCAGCAGAGCTTAATGTGATGCCAAGTCATGCCTCCTTAAACATTTCCTTCTACCATCCAGTCCCCCCATTCCTCCCTGGAGCCCCTAAATCCAACCTTTCCTCTGAGGTCACCATCATTGTCACCTTACTGTCACCTCCCAGACCTCTTCCAACATATCTCCTAACAGAAACTGTTTAGATACCCAAAAATATGGAGCTTTTGTCAAAGCTTTGCATTTTACAAATTCTAGTTTCTTGGGTGAGGTCCCAGAGACTATGCCAGTCAAAGTGTGGCCCCCTGGCCAGCAGTACCACATCACAAGGAACTTGTTAGCCATATAACTACTTGGGCCCGACTGCAGGCTGAAATCGAAAGCTCTGGGAATGGGACTCAGTCATTTGGGTTTTCACAAGCCCTCCAGGTAATTCTGAGTCACTCCTATATATATTCTGCACTTTTCTCTTTCTGCTCAATGCTATATCTTGGTAAGGATTCTATATAGAAATTTGACTCATTCCATTTCAACAGCTGTATAGTATTCCATTGTATCCATTCATTCCTTCATCTAATAGTTCTTTTTAAAAAACAGACAGCTGGGTGCAGTGGCTCATGCCTGTAATCCCAGCGCTTCAAGAGACCAAGGCGGGAGGACTGCTTGAGCCCAGGAGTTTGAGACAAGCCTGTGCAACACAGGCAGAGCCTGTCTCTCCAAAAAAATACAAAAACTAGCGGGGCGTGGTGGCACGCGCCTGTAGTCCCAGCTACTTGGGAGGCTGAGGTAGTAGGATCACCTGAGCCCAGGAGGAGAAGTTTGCAGTGAGCCGTGATTGTGCCACTGCAGTCCAGCCTGGTGAGACAGTGAGATCTTGTCTCAAAAATAAAATAAAAAATACCAGGCGCAGTGGCTCACGCATGTAATCCCAGCAC